GACAACAACGCGCAATTGACAACAGCAGCAGCAGCAGGAAGAAGCGAAAAGAGAAGCAAAAAAACACAAAGAGATATATATAAAAGCATAAATATTTAGGCAACACAACAAGTCGAAAACAAGGCAAACACAAATAGAAACAAACGCAATTTATGTGGATTAAAGAAGCAGCTCAAGAGTCAGGAAAATCAGAAAATAACAAATGCACATTAAATGTATAATACAACGGATACTTATGTATATTTAAAGCAAAAATATTTTTACTCTCTGAAAAAATCAGCAAAATTTGACTAACGAGATATAGAATAATTTACAATTTTTAGCAGAGCTTTAATAATTGCAGCAACTCTTGAACAGAAATACGAGATAGATACACTATATAATATCGCCCACATAAATATTTTATATATTTTATTTAAGATTTAAGTTTGGTTTAGCTAAAGTATTCTAGATATTTAATTGCAAACTTCGAAGAGACTTGGTTAAATTAGCTAAGCCTAATTCGATAGGGGCTAAGCTGTTTAGCTATAGAGTAAAAACAGAAGACAAAAGAGAAGAGATTCAAAAGAAATTTAAATTTATCAAATGAATTGAAACAAGTAAGAGGCTCTAGTCGGGAACTCCCGACTAGGGGATACCCTGAACCCTCTTCTTCCAACATCAAATGCATATATATATTCTAGTTTAGAAGCTATATGTCAAGGTTGGTGACTCTAGCTCTTATTATTTACCAAAATTGCCCAAATACTTTATGGGGTCAGAGATGCTTCCTTCTGCCTGTTACATACATTTGGATTTTCAATGGGGTCAGGGTATAAAAATATATAGTTAAAGTTTGCATTGAACTTTTACTAAAAATATGCTTTTTTTTGAGTGTAAGGTTTAAGGAAAATATTCAAATTTTCACAGGGAAAGCAGGCATATGAGATTGTAGTCCGAAACAACCAAATGCGGCCAAAGCAGGAGTTAGGCAAAGTTTCTAAATGAAGCTTTAGAAATGAGAGACAGACAGAGGGACGGATGGAGATGTCTATATCAACTCGATTTATCGAGAATATGCAAACATTATAATATAATATAATATATAGAATATACAAAGTCATAAGACTCTCTACAAGGGCATAAAGATTCTATTCTCGTATCGATTTCTCAGATCTAGGCAAATTTTGAGAGAGCTTAAAACCGTTTTCTCAATCAAAGAAAAACTATATTTTAATATTAAATTGAATATTTTCATCAAGTCTAATTAACATTCATATTATAGGTTAAATAATACAATAGTTAGTCTTCAGCTCAAACTGAATTTATATTTTCTTTGCCCATTTAAAAGTAGCTAAGTATAATTGCCTCAAAATTTGATATTTAAATGTTGTAGAATCTACAAGCATAAATTTTAGACCTAAGCAATTGCTCGACTTCCAAATAAGATTATTTTACTATTAAGTCGAATTGAGCGCGTGAACTGTGTCCATATCCCGCAAACATATATAACATATATAATACTTCCCATTTTCCCTTCTCCCATTTCCCATTTCCATGTGTATTAGGCTTAAGAAAACTGACTTCCTGTTCTCGCTGTGTGTGTGATATACGAAGGTAATAAAAGTTTGTTCTCCGCGCACAACTTACGTTGCGATACAAACGTTAAAAACGTTAAAAACGAAAAAAGCGCAAAAGCTCGCAACTTGAAATTGTTTCTTATTAAACAGCAAAAGAATTATGAGCAAGTGCTCTGGCAAATAAATTCATTTTCATTTATTTAAATGATTTTATTAAAAAAGTTTCCATCGAAAATGTTTGACGACATCATCAACAATAATATTAACGAGTGCACGACGACTAGATACCCTGTAAGCAGCAGCAGATGTGATGAGACAGAGAACTGCTTGTTGTGCTTCTTCTTCTGCTTAGACTTGTACTCTCACTAATATGTTCTCAGTTAACTTAGGTGCTTAAAGTCTGTGCTTAATGAAATAAATGGGCCGCGTTTTAAATATAATATAAGACAAAGTCTCTAGATATCTTAGTCTCAAAAGAAACAATCGAACTGAAGGAGAGACAGGCGGAAAGATCGCCTCGGCAATAGATAAAGATATAAATATAGATACAGATACAAATAGATGTATATGAGCTCGTAGATGCCTGCCCCTGCCTGTCACATACATTTACACAAAACGTGTATACCCATTTTCCATTTTCGTAGGGTATAGTAACGACAACAAAGAGCAGCGAAATATTTTCACACACACACATAATGGCACTTCAATATGTAATGCAGTCGTTATTGGGGGTGTGTGTATGTGTGTGAATGGGGGATGTATATGCTTGGGTGTGTTTGTGTGTGTGTGTGTGTGTGTGTGTGTGTGTGTGTGTGTGTGTGTATGTGGTGTGTGTATGGTATGTGTGTAACCAACAGCTTGTTAGTGGCTTTGTTGGTCAGTACTTTCAACTAATGTGTTTTGTGCGGCCATACAAAATCTCAAGCACCCGCTTACACACACACTAACACACACACAGTAGCTCACGTTTCTTTCTCACAGAGACACACACACACACGAACGATTTGATGTACTTAACTTGCGTCGTTTTGGCCATGTTGTTGCTGTTATAGTTGGCAGCTGCTGCTGCCAACAAACCGCAGACTACATGCATGTGTGTGTGTGTGTGTCAGTGTGTGTGTGTGCGAGAGAGAGAGAACGCCTTATGCCTCATCTCGTTCAGCTTTGGCTGCCTGCATAAAATAACCGCATAAAATGTCGTTAAGCATAACGAAATTGAGTCTGCTCATAAATTCAGATTATAAGATTAAAATGTTGTGATTTTCGCACATTGCCCCCCCTCCCCTCCCCCTCTCTGTCAATCCGAAAGAAGAAGAAAACCCCTTTACATAATGAAATATAACAAGAGAGGACAGTTTTTCGTTTAGGCTACCGAAGCATTGAATACCCTTGCAAACAGATTGTGAGCTGTATATATCTCTTGAGAAATTGAATTAAAAAAAGTGTGTTTTTTGGAGAATTACATTTTCAACCTTTTGTATCTGGGTTGACTTTGACGAAATGTTAGCTATAATTATAACAATCCGACGACAAAGAGATTTTACTTTCATATAAGGATTATTATGAAGTTGACGCAGATATCTAGATGTTTTTATGAACTACAACATTTTAATTTGTTGCTAGAGTTGAACCAGCGTCCTTTTGCTTGTTGGACCGACGCTTGAACTTCTAAACAAAGCATAAATATCTTGATAACGATAAGTTTACCAAGCAAAAGCTATATTGTCCACCGATCCAGCTGAAACGTACCTACGCATTACCTTCAACATATAGTCTGATATATATCAGAAGTTCTTTCAGCTGGTATTCAAACTAAGTAAGCCTCAATAGACGAGATCTACTCAGCTGATCAAAAATATATCTCCCAATAACATGTCACATTTCCCGCCAAATATATATAAATACCCATTTGGCAGGGCATCAAAATGTGCAGCACGTCGCAGCCGAAGGAGTTGCCTTTTGCCTTTTGCCTTGTTTTCCCATTTTGGGGCAGCTTTCCCGCAGGACGAAGGCTTATTGAAAAATGCGACGATACAAGCTCTGGAAATGGCCAATTTAATGAGTTTACGACTTTTATCATCAGCGTGCTTCAAGCTTAAAGCCAAACGCGAAAAGCGATGAAAACTCGAAAATGTATTGAGAAGAGAAGGCGCATACCGAAAAACTCTTGAATGGGAAGCTAAAAACATGAAAATACTCTGCTTTAAATTTAAAGTATAGAAAATTTACAAAGGAGACATTTTTATAGGGTATACGCCGGGTATCAGCGCGGTTGGCCTAATGAGAAGTTTTCGAATATCGAAAGAGCTCTGAAGCAAAAGTCAAGGACAAGCAGATGCTCTACTCTAGGCGACACTTTTTTACAGGGTATTCAGTAGGTAATCGTATGTAATTTTGTGGATATTTCTAGAACTCTGAAGCGAAAGACAACGACAACAAGAGAACTTTATTATGGGCTCTTCCGATTAATCGGATGAGAATTTTCTTATAATCAGCTTTTCATTAAGATAATTCATTTCCTTTTTGGAAGCAGGGTATTTAAACTGAAGATTAGTTGAGCTTAGCTTAATTTGGATTTATCTCACGTTGTTTTTTATGGCACAGAATCTACCTGCGTCATAGACAGAGCGAAACATTAAGCAAAACCTAATATACTCCCAACAGAGGTGCAGGGGTTTTACCCACCCCCTCGCCTCTGTCGCTATCTTGTTATCAACGAAATAGTTTTGTTAATTACACACGTTCAGCGAACTTGAAATTCGTTAAAAAGTTTACCAAGCGAGGCGATTAAAGCCAAATATTTGGCTACGAATTTGGGTCAGCTGGCAATTTGTCGGTTGCTGACAATCCGTGACAACCCTGGCCGCAACTCTGGTCACGTGAAATTCCCAAAAACTAAAAAGCCATCAGCTGTCGCTTCATTATGATGCTAATTGCGAGCGGGCCGAGCAAACACAACGAATGAGTTGAAGAAAACAAAAAAAAGGTGAAGTGAAAAACAAACAGAGCTGAGGATTAGCTCAGCAAGGCGCAACGTGATATGCAACGTGCCGCATGTAGCATGCAACATGGACCCATAAACAGTTCGTTTCGCCTAATCCCGTTATGCATGCATCGGGATTAGCGTGTGAAGAAAACAAGAGTCCTGACGTCCAGCCGTTGTCGACTTTACGACACTTTTTAGGTAATGAATGGGATTAGAGTTTTTTCATCATCTTTTAATCCACTCGCCGCGCTGCGGCTATAAAAAATGCAATGATTGAGCATTGGCTCGTAAAAAAAAGAGAGCGCGCGCGCTCCGGACGCTTGCCTGTGCTGCAGGTTGACCTGTGCTCATGAATGGCCGCGCGCAGGTCAAAAACTTGACAATTTGTCGGGCATAAAAGCGAGCCGTCGCCGTGCAGACCAAAGCAAACGCAACTGAGCATTCCGGCAGCCAAGATGTGTAATCCACAGCAACACGAACAACAACAGCAGCAGGAGCAGCAGCAAAATGTGGCTGCAACCAGCTCGACCACGCCCACAGCCGCCTACGCGCTATACTTGCATCGAGAGGAGCTGCGGCGCCGCAAGGCGCACTCGGCCCGCGCCTCCGCCACAAAGATACAGCTGACCAGCGAGCTGATCGCGCGCACAAAGCAGAATATACGAGTCTGCAGCTTTGAGGATCTGGAGATACTCGCCAGGGAGACGATCTTCAAGAAGAGCCTGCAACGGCATCTGCACTATCGACGCATGCAGCTGCAGGCCTGGCTGCTGGCCAGGAAGCAGGGCAAGATCCTCAAACAGGAATCGAAGAGAAGCAACTGAGAGCGCTGCAGTTGAGGGAGCTCAGTACTAAAAACAGCCAAAGTGATAAATTTGCCAGTCGAAACGAATTTCTACTCTAAATATAATTGTATAAAAACATATTAATTAGATTCAAATACAATTTAAGCTTAAGATAAACATTTCCCAAGAGGCGCAAAACCCAGCAACAATTGACAAAATGCAGCAGAAATATCTAACTGATATCTTAATATATATAATCAATAGGAATCTATAACTGAAATAAATTTTAAGAAAATAATATAATTTAAGATTGTGGAGCATCTGCTGGAAGAAAAAACACACTGTTTGCAGCCGAGCTTCTTCTTCCCTTGGCCACAAATGAGAGGAAATGTTTTTTTTTAATATTTCCCATTCGCATAACTCGGCCAAATCTCATCCGATTTTCATGAGAGTTGACTTTTTCTTCATGGGTTTCCCTCTAAATTAATCTGACATTTAAATCTGAAAACAAAAATTTTGGTCGAAATTCATGTCCAAATCTTACCCCAAATCTTACCCCAAGTTATATAGACATGGGTCAAAATTTCCCATTCCCATAACTCGGTCAAATCTCATCCGATTTTCATGAGGGTTGTCTTTTTGTTCATGGTTTTCCCTCTAGATTAATCTGGCATTCAAATCTGAACACCGATTTTTTAGTGGAAATTCATGTCCAAATCTTACCCCTAGGATTCGTCTATTAGACGTGGGTTTAAATTTCCCACCCCCATAACTCGGTCAAATATCATCCGATTTTGACGAAGTTTGGTTTTTTGTTCATGGTTTTCCCTCTAGATTAATCTTGCATTCAAATCTGAACACCGATTTTTTAGTCGAAATTCATGTCCAAATCTTACCCCCAGGATTCGTATATAGACGTGGGTCAAAATTTCCCAATCCCATAACTCGGCCAAATTTCATCCGATTTTGACGAGGTTTGGTTTTTTCTTCATGGTTTTCCCTATAGTTTAATCTTGCATTCAAATCTGAACACCGATTTTTTAGTCGAAATTCATGTCCAAATCTTACCCCTAGGATTCGTATATAGACGTGGGTCAAAATTTCCCATTCCCATAACTCGGCCAAATCTCAACCGATTTTGACGAGGTTTGGTTTTTTCTTCATGGTTTTCCCTCTAGATTAATCTTGCATTCAAATCTGAACACCGATTTTTTGGTCGAAATTCATGTCCAAATCTTACCCCTAGGATTCGTCTATAGACGTGGGTCAAAATTTCCCACCCCCATAACTCGGTCAAATCTCATCCGATTTTGACGAGGTTTGGTTTTTACTTCATGGTTTTCCCTCTAGATTAATCTTGCATTCAAATCTGAACACCGATTTTTTGGTCGAAATTCATGTCCAAATCTGACCCCTAGGATTCGTATATAGACGTGGGTCAAAATTTCCCATTCCCATAACTCGACCAAATCTCATCCGATTTTGACGAGGTTTGGTTTTTACTTCATGGTTTTCCCTCTAGATTAATCTTGCATTCAAATCTGAACACCGATTTTTTAGTCGAAATTCATGTCCAAATCTTACCCCTAGGATTCGTATATAGACGTGGGTCCAAATTTCCCTTTCCCATTACTCGGCCAAATCTCATCCGATTTTGACGAGGTTTGGTTTTTACTTCATGGTTTTCCCTCTAGATTAATCTTGCATTCAAATCTGAACACCGATTTTTTGGTCGAAATTCATGTCCAAATCTTACCCCTAGGATTCGTCTATAGACGTGGGTCAAAATTTCCCACCCCCATAACTCGGTCAAATCTCATCCGATTTTGACGAGGTTTGGTTTTTACTTCATGGTTTTCCCTCTAGATTAATCTTGCATTCAAATCTGAACACCGATTTTTTGGTCGAAATTCATGTCCAAATCTTACCCCTAGGATTCGTCTATAGACGTGGGTCAAAATTTCCCACCCCCCTAACTCGGTCAAATCTCATCCGATTTTGACGAGGTTTGGTTTTTACTTCATGGTTTTCCCTCTAGATTAATCTTGCATTCAAATCTGAACACCGATTTTTTGGTCGAAATTCATGTCCAAATCTTACCCCTAGGATTCGTCTATAGACGTGGGTCAAAATTTCCCACCCCCATAACTCGGTCAAATCTCATCCGATTTTGACGAGGTTTGGTTTTTACTTCATGGTTTTCCCTCTAGAGTAATCTTGCATTCAAATCTGAACACCGATTTTTTGGTCGAAATTCATGTCCAAATCTTACCCCTAGGATTCGTATATAGACGTGGGTCAAAATTTCCCATTCCCATAACTCAGTCAAATCTCATCCGATTTTGACGAGGTTTGGTTTTTTCTTCATGGTTTTCCCTCTAGGTTAATCTTGCATTCAAATCTGAACACCGATTTTTTAGTCGAAATTCATTTCCAAATCTTACCCCTAGGATTCGTATATAGACGTGGGTCAAAATTTCCCATTCCCATAACTCGACCAAATCTCATCCGATTTTGACGAGGTTTGGTTTTTTCTTCATGGTTTTCCCTCTAGATTAATCTTGCATTCAAATCTGAACACCGATTTTTTAGTCGAAATTCATGTCCAAATCTTACCCCTAGGATTCGTATATAGACGTGGGTCCAAATTTCCCTTTCCCATAACTCGGCCAAATCTCATCCGATTTTGACGAGGTTTGGTTTTTACTTCATGGTTTTCCCTCTAGATTAATCTTGCATTCAAATCTGAGCACCGATTTTTTGGTCGAAATTCATGTCCAAATCTTACCCCTAGGATTCGTCTATAGACGTGGGTCAAAATTTCCCACCCCCCTAACTCGGTCAAATCTCATCCGATTTTGACGAGGTTTGGTTTTTACTTCATGGTTTTCCCTCTAGATTAATCTTGCATTCAAATCTGAACACCGATTTTTTGGTCGAAATTCATGTCCAAATCTTACCCCTAGGATTCGTATATAGACGTGGGTCAAAATTTCCCATTCCCATAACTCAGTCAAATCTCATCCGATTTTGACAAGGTTCGTGGTTTTCCCTCAAGAACAATCTCTACACATTTGTAATTTGGGGATGTCACAAGCCTCCGTTCCCTTCAGTCAGTTTCAAACTTACGCATTTTTATAAATTTTATGCATATAGCTTTAAAAGTTGTAGATTTCTAACTTATTTGATCAGCTTTTCGAGCTTATTTGATAGTCCGATAAAATCCGTGAGACAGCCAAAAGTTTAAATACACATCTCTAATTATTCAGCTACACATTTGTTATCTGCTTGACACACACTCTCGCACTCGCACACACACACGCACACACACAATGACATGCTGAGTGCAAAGTGCAAAGTGCAATTATGCCCTGAGCATACAATTTCCCATTTAAATATTAGAAAATTTGCACTGCGCTGACAATGAATTCCACAATGTCTGCCAGAGTCAGGCCAAAAAATAGAAGCAAACGCAAAAGACTTGTCGGCGAGGGGCAAGGGGTGTGAAGGGCGGCCGGGGGGAACTGGCGACGACCTGTACGCTGTGGCTCGTAATAGTGTAAAAACAAATTTACACATGATTACATGATTCAGACGAGTTACAAATGCCGGCGTTTAATAAAACTCAAACAAAATGAAGCGCTGCATAAATTTGAACAGGCGCAGCTACAACAACAACAACAACACCAACAACAAGTGCAACAACTGCAACAAGAAACGAAAAAGTAGGAGCAGAAGATGTGCGCACCCAACATCGACTTCATCTTTTTTCCTTTTGCCTTTTAGACTACATAAATTTTAATTAAATGTCACTCATACGCCATGTATGCCAAGTACAATATGTGTGTGCAACCAGACATTTGCTCGAGTGTGCGTGTGCAATTGAGTGTGTGTGTGTGTACGTGCGACAAATGGATGCAGACACACACACACACACACACACACACACACACACACACACACGTACACTGCCAAGCACATGCAAGTGGCACGAATTACAGTTTATTGAACAGAAAAGGGAAAACAGTCAGGGCAAAACACAAGAGAAAGGGAGAGAGGGAGAGGGAGAGAGAGGGGGAGAAAGACAGAGAGAGAAAGGGAGAGGGAGAAAGAGAGAGGGGAAGGAAGAAAGCAAACAGCATCAAGTTGTTTCCACTGCTCGGCAGTACAGTGTAAGAAGCAATAAATGCATTTGATGCTTTAATGGTTTTCGCCACACGCTAATCATCAATCAGACAGTCAATCAATCACTCAATCAGTCAGTCACACAATCACACAGTAGGCCAGCACCAAATCCCATTTAAAGGCACCCTAGCATCAATCAATCACTCAGTGACTCAACCAATCAATCACTCAGCGGGCACAAATTACCTATATAATTGTTTGGAAAGGTGTAAGTTCATTCAACCTATCCGTAACAGTACTTACTTGTGCATTGATCGTCAATCAATCGGTCAATCAATCACTCAGTCACTCAACCAATCAATCACTCAGCAGGCACAAATTGCCTATATGAGTGTTTGCAAAGGTGTGAGTTCATTCAACCTATCCGTAACAGTACTTATCTGTGCATTGATCGTCAATCAATCGGTCAATCAATCACTCAGTCACTCAATCATTCGGTATATCAGCACTAAATCCCAATAAAAGTGTTCAAAAAGCCATAAAATACTCGTTAGGCCAGCTTTAAACATCAATCAATCGGTAAATCAATCAAGTATGCATGTCTTACATGCGAATTCTAATGCGCCTTGCTGCCACCCGATGGAAACAGTGTAAAAATGTGCCCGAACAAACGGAGATTCTCGGCCACAGTCAATTGCTTTGACTGCATTTTGGTTAGCACAAATTTTGGTCAGCTATAAAATCTCAAGTTTTTTCTTTCAACATTGTTTTTTGTGCCCCATTTGATGTTTTTTCTCGTTGTTTTTCTTGTTTTTTCCTTCTTCTGTTTTCTTTTTTTTTTTTTGGCTGTGGTCTTGTGCATTTTAATAAAAGTTTTAGAGCATGCATTATTCATGTTTTACAACAATTGCAAT